ACTGCACTGCCAGATATTTCTCACCCCTCATCCCAGAGGTGAAGCATCGAAGCTGACTGGAATATGGAAACTCGACAGCTGAGTGCTTTGGCAACTTGTTTTTCTATTGGCAGTTTTATAGTGCAAGCCTGCATGCACCAATGAGACATGGCACTGCATTATACCAGTGACCACTCACTAGAGAAGTGAGTAGAAGATTGTCAGTGTAATATGCTTTATATGGTATGTTTTAGTTAATGTAAATGGACAAGCATGTTTTGTACAACAAACAATGGTTTAGGGCTAGAGTTTTTAATAAAATTGCTGAACTGGCAATAGTATTGGTAGAGCATGGTGTGATACATGGTTCTGCAGTTCAAACTAATGGTACTAACTAAGAAAGCTATAAAACTTGAAAAGTACCTCCATAGTTTGTTCACAATGGGACTCTGCATATGTTTTGGTTATTATGACATAAACTGATAAATCAAAGGCGATTAGTTTGTTTGTGACATGCAGTATAATCTAAAGCCACATTTGCCAAAGTGTTATTCAAACTGTATATGAAGGCAGTAATGACTAAACTAGGCTTTAACACACAATGGCCTTTTGTTTTGCAGGTTATTTATTGCACGGGTGTGAGGTTGAGCCGCACCAGCACTGAGTGCATCCAGGGGCTCGTATTGTTAGGGAATCAGTGGCCCTTGTTTGGGGAGCTGAGAGGGTTTGTTAACAATGCCTTTTTATGTCGCAGACTGCGTGCTGCTGGCAAACGTCCACTCCATTTTTTGTTTGTTTTGCTGTTTTTGAATCTAACACTCCTATTGTGTTCAAACAAAGCTGCTCTGCATCAGGTGCATGTAGCAATTACTGCATAATTGTATTCTCAAATTTCTACATATTTTATTGAAAATGTACTTATAGTGCCCATGCTATATATGTCCTAATGGAGCTTTTCACTGTGTGCCATTCCTGTGAGGATATAGGGACAGGGACGAGGAAGGGGGGCAGGGATTAAGGGGGCTGCAGCACTGCCTTGTTAAAGAAAAAGAAAGGGTTTTGAGTGTGTCGATTGGATTAACTTGTTTGGGCTTATTAAGAGGGGAGACTCAGCAGCTTGTTAAAAGCACTGCATGGGGCATCCCACAGTGAGATGGCAGGGTCACCATTCAATTAGACTCAAGACCCGCCCACATTCATTGGGCAGGCTGTGTTCTGGGCTACCGGATCAGACAGTGTTACCAAGGGAAAACTGCTGACACTACTGTATCCCACAAATAACTCTGTTATTAAAGCTAAATGTGGTACAACTACAAACCAGATTCTGACTACTCCTCAATTGTTTATTCCATTAGTTTTTTTCATATATATGACAGAGCAAATTATAAGCATTCATGCTAGAATTTAAGCATAGGTTTAAGACCAAACAACTTACTCTCTCTATATATGGTGATTTATGTTGATTGTAACATAAACTTCTTTCTTTGTTTAAAAATACAAGGAAGTATTTTCTTCATAAACAACTATTGCCTGTTGCCTGTACCTTCCTTCATTGGCCCTAATGGTAACCCACACCTCCGTTTGTGTGTGTTCACCCGTGACCACCCTGTTGCACCCTGCACTTGGCAGGATGCTTATCTGGGCAGACAGCTCTGGGTGCAGGGAGCTATCTCCTCTGATCTCCTCTGCAGTTTAAGAACCTTTTAACTAAGAAATAGCCCTGTGCCAATCCCACCGCCTCTTGATTCTGGCTTATTCCTTCATCTCATGGGACTGATCTTCCGCCCCCATCACAAAACCCTGCAGCAGAGTTAGCAGAACGAAGGGAAAGAGCCCATAGACATCCTGGCTTTGGAGATATCCTTGTACTGCAGTAATAGGAGACTTCTAAGTGCATGAGTGAGTGATGTGTAGTAGTTGCACACATTCTCCCACATCCAGACAAACACTGACCTTTGACCTTTTCAGCCTCAAATGCATCAAGGGATTGGTGGGGTTTTTTTGGTCTGACATAATTTCCTGCCACCAATAGACATCTACTAAGTAGCACAATAACCTAATAGAATGAGATGAGATGAAAGAAGGACATTGCAAACAAGTAGACAAGACCTCACCCTCTTTCTTTGGTCTTTAAGGCAATAATAAGAGAAAATTGGTTCTTGAAATTGAATTGAAAAAGTGGGCCTCTTTCACCAAAGTAATGCTTCTGAATACATTTGGTGGGCAGCAAATGGAAGAAAAATGGTGATTGTCTTTCATTTCAGAGCAGAAAGCTGTGGAGGTATCCCCCCCTGTAAGGCCAGCTTTTAGTCTCGATCTCTCCCTCTCCTTTTCTCCCTTACTCAACCACTACCTTTTAACAAATGGGCTCTGAGGAGGATGGCCCTGTTGTGAAATGAGTATCTGCACAGAGACGACACACAGAAAGGATTATGTGAATGGCGGTAATGAGCTCAAAGTGCTAGTGTGTTTGGGCCAGCTCTGTCCACGCTGGAGAGGAAATGGCCCAGCTAGCAAACCTTTTTTAACAGCAGCACCTGGCGACAAATAGAGTGGCCCCTTCTCTTCCATCTGCACCTCGTGTGTGTGATAAAAAGGCAATGAAAGACAGGCTTTTAGAGTGCAATTTGCTGATTTTAATTAGAGTTAACGTCCTCATTTTGGTCCTGCTTTTTAGAAAAGTACACAACAGGACGACATGATAGAACTAGAGCTGCACATGCCTTGAGGTCAAAGGTAACTGTTTTCTTATTAAACTGTGACTAATTTAATGGCACCAGTGATGCGCATCACTATCTATTTATTTTTTCAATCTGAAAAACACTACAACTAATAAAAAAACATGTACTTTCAGACGGATGTTTTTATCGAAAAAACATATAAATAAATACAATACAATAAATAAAAATAGAGTATACATTTTGAATTAAATATTATATTTTATTAAAATAAAAAGTAAAATAAATGAATATTAATTTAAATATTTAATCCTTATTTATTTCTTGTTTGTCAGAACTGTACCTGGACTTTATCATCTATGCATTGTAATAGCTTTCTTTCATATTAGAATGATCATTTGTATTGAAGTAATGGACTGATGGCGGGTGGCTAAATGTTCATTTAGTGATTCACTGAGAAAATAAATAACTAGGGAGAAGCGTGTGACAGTCTCATGAGGAATCCCTTTTCAATGATCTGCCACGTATCACAGCACAGGCTGCTGCCGGTGACAGAGGAGATGAAATATTTTCCTGTGTTTTTGTTTTATTATGGGACACAACCAGCCCAGATGGAAATGATAGTGTCTCAATAATGCAATACTTTGGTCCATAGTCTCATCTCACAATCCTTTAGAGCAGGGGTGTCAAACTCATTTTGGTCGGGGGCCATGTCCAACCTACTTTGATCCCAAAGGGGCCGGATCAGAAGACTCATGTCATATAAACCCCAAAAATAACAATAGGTTAAAATATTGGTGCAGAGAAACAAATCTATTACAAAAATCTTTTTAAATTGATGAACTCTTTCTTTTACAAAATATTATAATATGAATATGAACAACCTGAAACTTTAAGAAAAATGCAATTTCAACACAATATTTTAACATGAACTTGTTTGCAAGTAAGAATAAGTCAAATTTTTTTTGGAAAATCCTGAACTCGGCTCCACTTTTCTCATTTTGGACATTTTGCTGATGAGGGTGTCACGGTCAACAGTCAAAACGATCGTCCTTTAAGAGCATTTGGAAAGAGACAAGTCTTCATTTGTGCTGCTCTGGTGGGAGGGGCCACGCACAGAGGCGCTGGAGACACTGTTATGATAAGCACCGCAGAAAATTACCAATATTTTAATAGAAAATATAATTAAAATATTTTAGTAGAAAATCATCTGAGGGCCAGATTAAAGGTCTTGGAGGGCCGGATCTGGTCCCCGGGCCTTATGTTTGACACCCTTGCTTTAGAGTCACGTTTTAGGGGGAGAATGGTTTTTGCAGTACTGTACGAGATGTGGGTTTCTGGAAACAAAACAATATACACTAAGTGAAGTATAGTACAGTGAATCTTGATCTTTATCACATAAAATCACTTTCTGAACTGAAATTCCTTGCTTTAGTGGTTCTCATCGGCCACATAATCTGAGATGAAGGCTTTGTAATCAGTCATCATTGTGCCTTGTGACAGTGGTATGTTGCTGATAAATGATGCCCTCTATGGTACATGACGGTAGGGGGCACTCTGAGTGGAAGCCAAGGTGTTTTCACAAATAAATAAATAGAAAAAAGCATGTCCTGTTCCACTGAGCTGTGGTGTGCTTTTTGAGTGGAAACTCTCACAGTGCCGCGCTGGTGCCAAGTGAAGGTGGAAGTGTGGCGCAGCAGGAGTGTAGAGCTGGAGATTTATGGCCTGGAGGAAGATTGATTAGCACCATCACTAGCCCTGATGTACACTTGGCAGTCTCCTCCCTACTCATCGTAGTGGCTCAAACACACACACATAACCACACAACAGAAAAACTAGGTCCCCCAGGCCCTTCCTGACAGTACCCCAGAGCTGTTGCATGTTAAGTTGTTGCCAACAGACTGCTGTTTTCTCTGCATTACCATTTTTTGCTGTCCATAGATAACGCCATCAATCACCACATGCACAGGGCTGGAGGGAAGTGCCCGAATGTGGGTGCTTTAGGAGTGCCTGCGTGTTTGTTTTGAGAAGAGCCTCGTAGGCAGGAGATGTGCTTGAATGGCTGTGTGAATGTGTGTGAGCTGCAGAGTGACTGGACCAGGCTGTGCTCTCAACCCGTGTCAGCCTCTCTGGTGCAGGTGTGTGTTTATCATTCAGCACACAGAGCTGGGAGGCAGGCAGCTGGAGGCATGCTCCCCCAATTAAATCCAGGGTGAGAGACTTGGCCCATCTCACCTAAAGCAAGCTCCTGCCGGCTTACCGGACACAGCCATGGAGCTCTGACCTCAAATCAACCTACCAACTTACTCAATTTTCTTCCACTTCTCTCTCTTTCTGCTGCAGGTTGGCCACAGAAGTCCTCCGGCTGTTGAACCGTGCCCACCTCGCCATGCTGGCCTGTCTGCAGAGGAGGCAGAATCCCCCTCCCCAGCACCCAGTGTGTACCAGCAAGGCCCTGGAACCACCACAAGCCCTGGGACGGAAATGTGAGTGCACAAAGTGACAAGAGTCATAGAGGTCAAAGGTTCAGATCAGCCAAAAGGAATGAGGCTTGTTTGTCTCTTTGAGTTTGGTGACTGATGGAAACGGCTTGTTAACCCCAGCTATGAATGAGTGAAGGGAAATGGACTTTCCGGTTTCTATGTTCCTTCATCATGCTGAGGAATTCTAAACAGCTTCATTGGCTCTGCACTTAGACCCCGGACAGCTCTGTAGTTAGCTGCTCATTGTGCAGGGCTGTTTAGCTGTGCTGATTGTGCAGTCGTGGCAACAGGGCTGAACAGACAGTGTTTAACGTGCCTCACTGGCCGGGGGTGACCCTGAGGGTCTGTAAACATTTACAGTGTCTGGCCCTGGCTCTGCACACTGCCTGTAAAGCATGACAGCTGCTCTGTTTGCTCCCAGCACCACCCTGTCCACTCACAAAATGGCGCAAAGGGACAGGGATGAAAACAGGTTAAGGCCTGGCTGAACTAGCTCTAACCAGTTTGGGTTTATGGGATACTTCAGGGAGGCATTAGGAATTTTGTAATGCTGATGAACCATGCAGACTGGGGTAAAACAGCCATCTTGTCTTCTTCATTATTCTTTTTGATGGTTATTGTTTACATGTCATGTAATTAGCCAGTTCTTTAAAATCATTTTTTGTGATAACAGAGAGGAGGAACTGATAACTCCCTTTAAAGAGGTTTTCTTGTAAAAGCTATGTTTTGTCTTCAGGACATTGCATTAAATTAGGACTGCACACAGGCCCTAAAGAGTCTTTGGTTGCCCCTGCCTGACTAATCTCTAACTCCACTGACCAACTAACCACTTCCCAGTTCCACATCACACTGTAGCTCCCTTAAGTTGCAAACATTTATCAACATTTAACATTTAATGACTGTTTCATATTGGAAGAAACTTAGTTGTAATTTTTAACTTTTGTTGGGTTGGCAAGGTTCACTAATGAAGAATGAACAGGCAAAATGAAAATAAAGATGTGAAGATGGTCAAATGAGGGAGGCACTCGTATTAAGTGTTTCAGCCCATCCAATTTTGAGGTATTAGTCTGCTTCCTTTCAAGGCCGTTCATTGTGAAGCTGCCAGAGGGAGTCAAGATTCAGATCAATAGAAAAGAACAGTCTAACCAGCAGCCTTGTACTGACCCTGTCAAACTCTCACTCCACTTCTCCACCTGTTAGACCTGTTGATTGAAAGGCTACCACAGAGACTGACTCCAGGCTCATAATGAGGATGTTTGAACATAATGGCCGCCTTTCTATCCTTGGAGGAGCAGAGGGGGGAGTGTTGGATTTCCACCCCTGTGCAGCTCTTGGCCTCAATAAGCCGATTGTTTGTTGTGTCCAGAGAGGGTGCAGAGAGGCAGTGACCATGCTCAGGTCACCAGGCAGAGCAGGGCGCTATGACTGATGTGAGTTTGAGCTACTGTGCGCCAGTGGGAGCCAACGCAGTGGTACTTAAGGTGACCTGGGCCCCGACAGGTGGGCTGTATTGCTTAGACTCTAAATATAAGGAGAGAGGGGTCCTAAATGCACAGAGCTGGAGGTGGAATGCTCCATTTGCATCTGCTGTCCTTTACAACATGAGGAATAGCAGAGCAGCAGAACAGTTAAGATGGGGCTAAGGAGGCTTTAGAAAAAGCCTGTGCATGCAGATGCCGAGTGGCTGTACAGTTCATTGATGCGACTCCCATTAAAAATCCCTCATACCCTCAATAAAAAAGGACTTAACTGGCTGTACCATCAGCTGGAAGCATTCAGATCGGCTCGCCAGACAATCAATTTCCCCCGAGCGCGCAGAGCTTAGCAGGAGAAACGGGAGGCGGGGAGCGAGATGTTTCCATTATCACAGCCCGCTCTGTGTCTGGGCTCAGGGGGGAGGGATGAGCTACTGTCGAGAGGGGAGTGCAGGAGGAGGAAGGAGGGAATGGCAGAGTGAAGATGGCAAAAAACAGACAAGTGAAGAAAAGCGAGAGAAGCAGAATGGGAGACAGAGAAGCCGGCTTTTTGAAAACCCACTGACCGCCTGCCCTTAAAAATATCATATTGGATTAGCCTCACAGGGTGGCCTTTTGATATTTTTTCTTGGGCATAGAATTAAAAGGAATGTGGGACTTTACTTGAATTATAAATCATAGGCATTTGCTTTCAGTGTGACCAAATTCCACACGTATGTTTCTCCACTCACCAGCACCAGCCCCTGTCATTTTTAATTAAATCCCTCCCTTATGGGTGACATTTGTAGCCTGCCCCCACCTCCATCCTCCCCTTCACATTACTCTAGCACTGCCCTAGATGGAGACATGAAAGGCAGAGACGGCAGTATTGCCAGGGCTTCTCATCATACAGTGCCCCAGAGAGAGGGCACCTATCCAGACAGATGAGAGAGAGGGCCTGGGGGGAGAGGGGTGAATGGACGCCACTGACCCGGTACACCTTTGGCCACAGGCTCCCTCCCTCACTGTGCTGCTCTCTTCATCACTGTCCTGCATGTGGGTCCAAAATGCACAGTAAATCTGCAGCAGGAGGGGCTTGTGCACCCACCCAGTGATGAGTAACACTGATGCCTGGACAGGAGGCCCAGCTCATCACTTACCCCCTCCTTCCTGGACCAGACAGCAATTACTCTGCCACATGTCAGCTAAAGAAAACAGGTCCCCAATCCCATAAATGACTGGCTGATGTGGACAGTTCAGCCTGGCTCTTTACTAAAAATCAAATTTGCTTAGATTTCCACCCACAGATTTTACATTTTACAATTAATTTCTTATTGGTTTTGTTTATGCTTAATCAATACATTGTATAACTCAGAATTGAATTTTGGATTGGGTGTGTGTAATCCTCTCTTGTTGTGGGTTTTAACTTAACCACACAATTCCCCACCACACCTTGAGTGTTTTTTGACTGGATTAGACTCTAGGTTAAACTAGCGTGTTTCCTCACTTAACCCTTCCTGTCTGTCTAGAAAGGTGCTAATTTGCAGCAATTCTTTTTGTAATCCCTAAAGTATATATATTTACTGACATTAATGTTAGCCGTATAAAACTGGTCAAGCAAGAGATTCCCAGCTGTGTCATTCAGTCTCCAAGTATACTTAATTGTTGAAGCCTCATCCATAACCCTCCGTGACATCACCCCAGGGCCGTGAAGTGCCAATCAACCAAATCCAGAAGAACTGCTCTACCTCTGCGTTCTGGGATCCCAGGTTCATGGACAGACCCAGGTTCAGCCCTATTGCAGTGTGATGGACAGAGACAACCTGGCCTTGTCACATTCCGCCTCAGGACATGTCATGGAGGCTCACCTGGGGATTGTAGTTTTCCTAATTGCCCTCTGACGCTGTGGGTTTAGCAGACCCTGCCATTAGTTGTTTTGGGTTTAGCTGCCCCCCTGCTAAACCACTCCATGGAGACAAAGGAGGACTTCACAATATGCTTTTGCAGCCCATTTGTTCAATAGTTGGTATATTTCATTGTGGTTATGAATAGAAGGAAATGCAGTCTCCTGATTGCTTCTGTGCTCTTGAGGTGAGGCAAAGTGGAACTGCAGACGAGGGAGCGATCTGCATGCACTTGACCTTTTCCCACTGATTGAACTACTTGGTTTTCCAGCTCCATTTGAAATTCCACAGAGTGCCCACAGAGACTGTCATTATCCTCTGTGTGCAGTCGCAAAGCAGAGGTCAGAGGTACTTTTCATGGTGGACTGTGATTGACGGCTGTCTACGAGCCCCCTCCTTCTGCATGCTTATTTATGTAGTTTAATTTCTCTAACCCTGAGCCGGCTGATGGGGTGTCATTTATTGCCACACAATGTAATCTATTTTTTATTTATTCTATGCAGAGAGTAGCACAGCAGTGTTTGCATTATCTTATACTGTGTTCCAGCTCACGCTTGTGTTGGCTGTAGAGGATCATTTCCGGATGGTGGCATCCCACAGTGGCTTGCCTTCCCTCTGCCCTTTGCCTTCTGCTGTGTACACAGGAGGTGAAAAAATCTTATTGCCTCAGAGGTGAGCTTGAGGAATAGGCCTCAGTTTTAGTTATGGGCACAGCAAGACTTGGGTTGAAAAACAAGCTCCTGCTCCAAAGGCTCCAGCCTGGCATTTGGACATCACAGGTGCAAGGCTTTGACTCCCTCTGCCCGTCCTGCCAGGGATAGTGATGTAGTGAAGCTGCCCCACAGGAAATGACATGGTGCCTGTTTCATCTCAGAGCTGTGCCCAATGCAGAATAATCACAGGGGTTGTTAAGGATATGACCACTCAAGTCATTATTTATTATAAGGATGCCTCATATACCACTTTTGTACCACTCTGATATGACAAATGCCTACCTAAAGAGTCCAGGTTGCAACTTGTCCAACCTAAATTACAGATAAGATTTAGAACTAACCATCTACTCAACCTGCTTCAGATGTACAAAAATTAATTACAACAATGCATATTCTGTCCTTAATCACGTGACTCCCTTCATCCTTTTCTCCACTCGCTTCTCATTCAAATTATGCATTCTGCTGCCGAGTGTCTTGTTGTCTGTGCAGTGTTAAATATTAATTGAGAATCAGTGGAGGACTTGTCTTCTAAATGATAGAACAGAAGGGCTGGGGCTTGCCTGAGGCTGCCTGCGGGCGCCTCTCTTCTCCCATTTACCTGCAGGCCTGCGCTCCAGCTCTTTCCTGGCCTGACAGTCCTCCGCGCTGTGTCCTGTGCATTTCCTTGCTTTTCCCCTCAACTCCGAAAAGCACTAATCTCTACCCCCACAGATTGTGTTGTGTTTGTGTCCTTCTGAGTTTGTGTATGTCCACAACTGCCACAAGCTCTTGACTGAATATGTGGCCCTTTGACAAAGAATATATTTCTGTGTAGCATATTGTCTAAAAGCTGTAGTACAAAAAGCTTTACATGGATGTTTCAGGTCAGTTTTTGATGTCTGAGTTCGGCACTATTCCTTATCACTCATCTCATCTGCTTCCTCTACTATACA